TGGCCTCCAACCTAGTAGAGATGGCCTCCAACCTAGTAGAGATGGCCTCCTACCTAGTACAGATGGCATCCAACCTTAGTATTTGCATAGAGTGCCAGGATATTATGGAAGTTTCTGCAAGAACCACTTTACCAAGCACTTTAGACCGCAAGACTCTTGACAAATCACTGTCTTGGTGGTTCAGTTGACAAGGCCCTGCTGGTCTTCAGTTGACTGGATTTTCTCCAGCTTTTGCCTTCCAGGAAAGCTGATGCATGCAGCACGGGACTTTGGTGGAACCAGCAACTCTTGTGCCTATCAGTTTGGTGTTTATTCAGATGTTAAGGGAAAATCACTACATACCGTGCAAGTGCTACCTCTGGCGTCTCCATCAACCCTACCACATCTTTGGCCGCGAAGCGACCACAGCAAGCATAGTCATAGTCCTACGTACTTCTCTACAAGGAAGACTCTTGATTGACAAGACACACCCATTTGAGGTTTCATTCATCAAGAGTCTGCATTAGATGCGGTCAAACAAGCAGAAAAGCATACAACTTCATAAAGCTGCCAAGATTAAAACCTCCCCATCGAACCCCTGAAAAAGACCGTCCAACATCGTCCAACAGAACGTCACTTGGGACCTCGCAGGGACCAACAGAACCGGGACCAAGGCCTGGGAGCTTCTCTCAGTCGTCCGAGGAGCTTCTCTCGGGCCATAAACATCTGCCCGTAGGCTGAGGTCTTCCAAGCCTCGGTCGCTGGGACCGGTCGTGCGTAAGCGTCGACCGGTCGTCCGTTCGTTTCACGACGGCCCTGGTTCAACCGTTTATAGCATGGTTTTGGGGCAACAAATGGGCAAAACTCTGTTCGCGGCATTCTCTTCAAATTTCACATGGGGACACATGGGTAACATGTTGACACCATGTTGACACCCATCATGCGACCTGTTCTCGTAGACCTTCCGACCCTCCAAATGGATGCTTTCAAAAAAGTAAAGACACTGGTCTGGCTTGACGACCTGCACCAACCGTGCCACCTTCGGTTCGGCCGACCCAGCACGAACCAAACACGAAAACATCAAGCTGAAGATTCGAGAAAGCAAATGTCTCACCAAATGCTGACAGGTGCTGAGAAATTCAGGTATGATTGTATGATGCTTTTAAAAGGTAGCATATACATCTCAGATCTCATGGTAGGGGATGAGGGTGACCCTCATTCCCCACGTGCCGTGCTAAAACCAACAGTCTCAGTCTCCCCTCCACCCCGCCTTGTTTCGCAGCTGCTCGTTCCGCTGCTGGCCGATCTTCAACGCCTGCCACACTCCAAGGGATGCACCGAATCCACCGTCCCAATGGCGCCATAGAAACCAAACCTCAGGTTCGATACTTCGTGATACTTCCATCCAACTGGACATGTTGGGACGCCTCCAAAAAGACCGTCTTTTTTTTCGTGTCGAACACTATCACCGAGACTCTGATGAAAGGGTATGTGATTTTTTATTTGGATCCGGAATCATGATCTCCAGCTATGGTGAAACGGAGTTCTGGGGTTTTGACCCACAGCCATCGGTTTCTTTTGGCCCTGCAGAGCTACTTTCTTCGAGGTGCTCTTGTTCTAAAAACTAAATCCGATCCGGACTCCAGGTATAGATCAACAAGAACTCTAATGTCGGCCTTGTGCTTCCCATACCTACAGGTGCCAAGAAAGCAGAAGAGATAATGACAATGAGAACATCTGAAGTTCGAAGCTCCTGAAGTTCCATTGATTGAACCTGGAGGATCATCTGCCTCCATCCACTGGCCGGATGGAGGCAGATACATCCAACCCATCAATCCGATGGTACTTTCACTAAACCTTTCAGTTCCGAAAATCGCTGGCAGTCACCAGGGAGCTTTGGAAGCACGAACTTCCCACCCGGTTCTTGACGTTTTTCCACGCCTTCATCCCTGCATCGCTGAAGAGGATTCGATTGTTGCCCAAACGCTCCTGGTCCAGCGGGGCGGTATACCGTCCACACGCCGCCGCTGTCCGCGGCGTTTTGGGTCTCTGATGCGAGAACGGCCGAGGGCTGTCTTGGTTGAAGGGTTGGTGCATCTAGTTCTCTTGGATGTTCTTAGTGTAGAACCCAAGGACCCCGAACTTTCGGTGAAGGTTTTGAGGTCCAAACCCCTGCGTTCTGCAGGGTCAAAACCCTCCAGTTCGGGGGTCCAATGATCTTTGGGGTGACGAAACAAAAAAGGCCAGTCTGGGGGATGGGGGGGGTGTATGCTCTTGTGTCGTTTTAGGTTTGTCTTGTGTCGTTTGGCCGCTGATTTTCCGTCCTGTTCCTCACCCCCATACATCTCCAGGTCTTGCATGAACTGCCTGCACCGCGAGCTGCGCACAGTTCACCCTCTTGTTTTGACATGTTTTGACTAGTCAACACATGTCATAGGTGGCTGACTCGCCGTGACTCGCCGTCTGGACTCTCATGGACCACCTATTAAGTGGGAAAATCAGCAAACGTGGCAGGTCTATACGAGCCACGGCACTGTTTGAGTCAGGCTCGACCCGCCGTCTCCTTACGACTCCATCCCCTTAGACATCGCAACCCCCCCGCGTCGCTACCTTTCGCGGAGCGTAGGACAGCCCACTGCAGAGGAGGGGGGGAAGGTGAACCAAGGGTGGCAGTCTCCCCCTGACGTCTCCTTTTGACACGTCTCCTCCTCCTCGGAAGCAAGTTCCGGAATCTGCTTCCGCCACCCACGTCGTCGCCGCCGCCTAAAGCGCTTTGTCTCGATCTTCATGTCCGTGTGCAGTGAGCTCAAGCCGTCCAGGGTCCGAAGCTTCCGCTGGAAGAGTGTCATGTTCTCCTCGGCGCCGCCGCAGGGCCAGTGGAGTGTGGCTCAGGAGGGGCACCTTGCGAAGTGGCTTCCAAAAGCTGCGAAGACAGGGCGAAGCAAATGCGGAAGAAGATGGTTCTCATGGAGAAGCGCAGGCTAGAGCGTACATGTCTCCAGTGTTCTTTTGGGACTCTTTGCCTTGCCGGCTGCGGCATGTTGAAAGTCGAGAGGTCTTGAAAGTTGAGTGTAACAAAGACATGTGTTAACTGTGTTACTCTCCTGCTACACTCCTGAGAGGCTACACGGCATGTTGAGTGTAACTGGTGCTACACTCCTGCCGTGTCCCTCGTTCCTCACTTCCTCACTTCCGGGACCTGCTGAGAAAGCGAAACAGATCTGGAGAGTCACGGGAGCTCGGATCGTCAACAGAATGGACAGCTGACGGGGTTTTAGCAGCAATTCCTTCATTTTTGCTGGAAGAAATGGATAAAAACGGACAATGTGTTCTCGAAGAGTTGGTGAAACACTGGTTCATCTGTTGCGTCGATTATGTTTCTACAACCAATTGAGTGTTTGCTTTTGGAAGTATCTTGTCAGCACTCCCACAACTGAAGCGTCTCCTTTTGAGATCCAAAACTCACAAATCTTGGAAGTCAAACTCATCATCAGCATTCTCGACTGAACAAGTTAAGAGAGTTCTTTCGGAGAAAATTCTTTGTCAAAGAAGACCATCGGATGTTGAGGCATTGCAAGCTTCTGAAGCATTGCAAGCAGGAACCTTGCCTCAAAATCTTTTTAATGGGTAGAAATATGGTAGAACGGTAGAAACATTGCAGAACATCCTTACCAAGCATTTGGCAAAAGATGGCCAACGCGAACGTTTTTTTTTCCGCCTCCAACGTCATGTAAGCTCTGTTGGGGGGGGGACGCTCTCGTTCTTCACAGGATCCCAAACGCTATCCATCTCCAAGTCGCCAAATGCATAAACTCCTGCGGGGATCTTGGCGCGTTTTCAACAAGTCCAACAAGTGCAAAGGACGTCCATCACCATCACCATCGGTCGTCCATGCATAGGCTAACGCGAAGAATTGCCAAGAAGGCGAGGCGAATCAAAAGAAACACGGGCACCACGGGCTAACGTACAAGCTGAATTGCTGAATGTTTAGGAAATTCCCAGCTAGTATATCTGATATCCGTGCAATCAATTCCCGGCTATAGTATATCATAGTATATCCATTTAGACCACCACACCTGGATACTTTCTAGCTTCAACCGTTTGCTTTGGATACGGAGACTGCTTTGGTTCCGTGTTTCATTTTTGGTGTCGATCTTGGAACTTGGTCAGCGGCCGCAAGAACTATAGGATACTTACAGTTTGGTAGAATGAAGGGTTGAATTTTTGTTTCGCCTTGGAGTGGAACTAAGCCCTCCTGTTTCACATCTGTCTTTTTTAGACTGGTCAGGGGTAGCAGGGGTATACCAAACAATGAATCACAGTTACAAACCTCTATCCAAGCCATCTATCAACCTCAAATAGATTGATAGAACAACAAGCAACATAAAGGCAACACAAACAGGTAATGGGAATATGAATCTGAACATTAATATAACTTTCCATCCTGGGAGTTAGGGAATGTTTCCTGGAACCAAGGACAGAGTACTTTTGGTTTCACGTTTGAACCTGAGTTTGTGCACCTCAATGAAGAAAAACACATCCACACATAGGCGAGCACAACATGCACACCCTGCAACCCTAGCAAGCTTCTTTGCGTGTAGAGCAGCAACCATCTGTAACCATCCAAAGCACTTCTGCTTTCCCAAATGAATCTGAGGGACAACAACTGCTCCAATTGCTACTTTCCTAGCTGGCCTAAACTGCGGAATCCGACAGCGGAATCCGGCAGCCAACCGACAGCGGAACAACATGGAGTTAACTCTTCGTTTTGCCCACTTCGGATGGGCCGCTGGACTCGGTTCACCACAGAAACCGGCGTCACCGGTCAGACCGGCGGTTCCGACCGACGGATTCCGGTCTCCAGGAAACGGCCACCGAAGCCGGTGACTTGGGCGTCCTGTTTCTGGAGACCTTCCAAATTCGTGTAGGGTGATCGTCCGCCCGACGCCCCCACTTTTCATCGAAAAAACGAACAAATTGCGAGTTGAGGTGGGCTGTGCCGCCCTGCAGTCGTTCAAAGCACCTTCCAGTCGTTGGTTTGAACAAGCCCGGACTGCGCAGCCGCCTTGGCCCAGTCTTTGAAGGGATCTGCTTCGCCTCGGTTTCGGTGCTTTTTCTCACCAAGGCGGGTGTTTCACGATCTGTTCTGAAGCCGCTTTTCCCGGGTCGCGTCCTCCCTCCAACAAAACGAGTTCCCGGACGGGTGGTAGAACTCAATCACTTCCATCACTCCATGATCAAGCCAGGTTCACAAGACTGCCTCTTGCTCAACATTGGCCGTAACAAACTTCAGCTTGATAAGCTCTGACCAAAAACCCATCTATTCGAACCCATGCTATTGCCAAACTTAAGATCTCTGCTTGAGCTTTGCTAACAGAATTTGCTGAACCATGACCTCCAAATCACCTCGTGCACAGACTTCTGAGATTCCACCACCACCCGACCCTCCGGCAGCTTCTGAACACCTCCACCTCGTCCTGAACACTTGACGCAGCCCAGCAGCTGGGCTCGGAGCTGATGCCAATGTTCTCCGCCTCCGAAGCTTGGAATCTTGGAATGTTCAAAAAGACCAGACCAAGGACTCCACCGGAATTCCATATTGGGTGCAAGGTACCCCTATGGATCCACTGCCACCGAACCAGGTCGGTACGGTGAGGACGGAGACTGTAGGCGCCAGGAGGGTCCAAGGACGCCTTCTGAGAAGGTGGTAGTGGATCCATAGGGCACTCCCTTTCAGTAGACATTTGCCCCGCAGCATGTCCTTCAAACTCCGGAAGACCAAAGACCGTGGAGACGCACCACGCCCACTGCGACTGCGAGCGCTTTACATGATTGGCAGTCTCGGATCCCCAAAAGTGTTTCTCTTGAGATTTGAAAGGCAACCAATATATTAGTTGATCTATTCACTGACTGGCCAGCAAAAATATGTCCACTGCCCCCTTCAAAAGAAGATCGTTAAAAACACATCTGCCTTCTTCTTCTTGCGGCCCTTCTTGGGAGATTTGATCCCAAAGCTCCACGGCAGGGATCCTCGCTGCCACAATCGTCGAACGTTCGAACCAAGGTTTGTTCTGCATGGTCTGGTTGTGTCTATAGTCATTGACATCTAGTCTTTTGGGTATTCATCCAACCACATCTAACCCAAAACCATCCAAAACCAAGATCTTGACCGTCCGCCACCCATGCTGTCATCTAAGATCTCCCTTACTCTTGGAATGGCAAGTTGTGGAGGACGAGAGCCGCGAGACTCCGACCAAATCCTGATCACAAAAAACACCCATGAGGACGAGAATCTGCAACAGGACGAGATCTGCGGTTTTCTACAGTCAAACGGACAGCAAACACCATACCCAGCACTTGGTTACACCCTGTTACACCCTCACACCCTCACAGTCATCCACTTCAACCTGCGCATGTTGAACATGCGCATGTTCTATGGCTGTTGTGCCCGCAGCTCACATCCGCCCAGCGACGGTAGAAGACATCTCCCGGTGGGGCTCGTTTCACCCAGTCTCCATGACTCACCTCGGTTGATGAATCTTGCGAACTCATCGGTCGTGTGAAGCTGTTGAACGAAATAACACCGCAGTTGGATCGTGTAGGAGTAAGGTTCATATATATGCATATAACGGGACCATTGTGTGGAATAGTATGATGGAATAGTTATATACTATAGCTCAGCTGTCTAGAATCAAATAAACATGGATCGGGATATATGAGCATGATCACAGGCCCGATGATTCTCGATATGCTCACCTGGACCTTCCTGTGGTGTCCTGAGATTCAGGTGACCTTGTAAGGAGGAGAATCACCTCCGTTCCGAAGAGTGACCCGAATGAGGCCCCCAAAGGGGTTCCCAGGTTCCCCGACTTTGGTACCACCCGAAAAGAGCACTCACTCCCTACAAATTCTTGCAAGAATACCCTCTCCTCAGTTGAAAATGACACGCCATGAAAAACCATCTACCAACATGTAGCCAGTCACCGCCCCGCCCAACTCCAACACGAAAAAAAAAAACCATGGGACGACGACACCCAGGTCACCGAGTCGGTGTTCCGCCGTACCGCTACGGCCTCCACGGTCGGCTCCTGGTCGACGCACGCTTGCGTCCACTAACGTCACTGTGAAGGTCAGGAAGATCGGAAGGTAATCCATGACAACCAAAGCAGGATGCATGCGATTGGAAGAACGGTGCCATACTACTGATTCAATTACGAAGCATGAAAAAACCATACTATATTCTAAATTACGTGACCCACCCGTGGTGCCAGCACTGGTGTAACCGAGTCGGATCTGCAGAGTTGTTTGCCGCAGGAAATGGCTGGAAACCCATCGAGATGGCGCAAATCAGGTCTCTTCCGTAAAGTGAAGACCTGCTTTTGGGCCAGCAAAGACCCTTCATCTGGGTTGTCTGGATTGCAACACGTCCAACTTGCGGAAGAAAGAACCAAAGGACATCAAAAGAAAGCTTCATTTACCTAGAAACCATGCCCAATCGGATCCAGGGAACCGGAACATTACACCCTCAAACGGCTCATAGCCTGGTCGTGTCTGGGATCGTGGACAGGTCTATAACCGACGAAGCGGCCGACACGACGGCAGATCCAGGGTGAGGGTTTCCATGTTCAACTCGTTGGCACAATGCCCTCAAGACCCGAACCGTTCAATTGCCAAATGTTGGCTACTCTTAGGGGATTGGAGGGCGCAGGAATTCTGGAGGACCTCTACACTACTGATCTTCAATGATTGTGTCATGCAAGATGTGTCAAGCAATTGGTGATTGTTCCAATCCTCTTCGTCCACAAACATGATCGAAAACAAACTGTCAAATTCAACTAATGTGTCATAATGTGCCCATTGGATAAGACCGAGAGCGGGGACTATTTTGCCAAACTCACATCAATTTCATCAAAGCACGACACGTTCACACTCATTTCATGAACATCCACACGTCCTGTGGGCTGAGCGCGCTTTGCAGGGCAGGCATCGTGACGCTTCGATGTGGAAAACCGCTCAAAGGTTTCGGGCGTTGCCGACCCTTCCTCAAGTCGGTGGCGGTCGTTGGGGTCGCGCGAAGGAACCAGAACCAGCAACAGCTGGAGGAGAGATTCGTTGCCAGGTAATTCACGTTTATCAGGGCGGAAGCCTCTGTTGGGCCGTCTAGCCTTGCGGCATGGCATTCTTTTGTCTTGTGAAACGTGGGAAACCACGAACTCTGCAACATGAAGCAGCAGGGTGACACCATTTAGACCGGAGTTTTCAAAATCATGCATGTGGCTAACACTCCGCAGTCTGTTCATTATCTGAAAAACCAAGAAGATACCCATCAAAGCCAGCCTACTACTAGGCAACGGCACCGCGGCACGTTCACCAACAAGTGTCGTGTCTTTGCCACGCAATGCAGTCTTCGAAGGTGTGAACCTCTTCAATGTGCCACGCGAGCACACCAACACTGCAATACGTCGGCATAGCACAAAACATGCAAGCACGGCACTGCCACTCCAGGCAAGCTCCAGCAAGCCGGCGGAGTCTGCCAGCAAGTCAGCGCGACAGCATGACCCGACTTCAGCATCCCAGCGTGACATGTGGCCCCAGGAGCTATACGAGTGCACCTAGTAAACGTCGTGGAATCATTAATTATTAATATGCGCAGCTAGACACAGAGGCGGGCGAGCGTCTGCGGGGAAAGGACGTGATCACAAAAGACACAAGTCCAACAGGCCTCTGTCCACGATGGTAACAGTGGTCCAAACGAAGCCATAAAAACGATTACACATGGCTGAGTACAAAGGTCCAAGGCGGAGTCCAAAACAGTTGCAAACAATTTTTTTTCCACACAGGGTGGTCTGAATCGGAACGAGACTAACGAGACACAAGGAAAAGCAAACGTTCACGGCTGTGTGCTGCATGTCTGCGGCTGTGAAACGGCTCTGTGTGCAGGTGTATGCATTATACCCCAGCTCAACCTTCCCAACCCCACGAACACGGTGTCTATGCTGTTCCAACGCTAGTCCGGAGGCCCCGCGAAGGCGCCCGAACATGCGTTTGAAACACCCTACAAGATGGGTAGTTTTGCCGTAGTAGGGCCCCAGTTCGCATCGTAGGCAAACAAAAATAGCATGAACAGGTCCAAAGGATCAGTCAAAAGATAAAGACTTAGCCAGGAGTTTGGGGTGCCCAGTACTCACTTAGGGACTATAAGCACCACCCCTTTGTGACCCCTGGAATATGTCATGATAATATCCCTCCCCTTCATCCAAGTGTCAGGAACTTCGAGGGTAGTTCTGGTAGCCACTGCACGGTGGGTGTGGACGGCGTAGCTGGCGCCGGTGCAACCTCCGCGTGCTCCGCCTCCCCGGTCGAGGTGCTCAGTGCTTTCGCATGTTCGTCGCGTCGGGACTGGTGGTCCACGGCCTGCGAGTGCTTGCGCTGAATGGGTGAAGGACGACTGCAAATGGACACCTGGGTAAAGGAAAAACACACACATGTTCATATTGTGTGTTACTCTTGTTCCAGGATCCAGTCCCAGAATTCCATGGAGGCCGGCCGCATGAGGATCACTAAGGACGGACATGATGAGAACACCAGCAACATAATTCTAAAGAAAAAACAAACCGTCCGGCCGTCCGCAGCCCAACAGAATAACAAAGACATCTTCCATTGTATATTATACGTTTTGTCAGCTTTCTTGGTGAACAGCAAAGGAACCTTATGAGCGTCAATTCACCTGAGGATCGTATCTAGATCTACATCATTCCACATCTATCCTGTCACTACTGACTGATTTCACTTTTACCTTGAACAGGAAGTTCGGCGCATGTGTCCGATACCAAAAAGGGACTCCCTTTACAAATCTCGGTGGCCCACATAGGGCAATACTACTAGTAGCAAAAAACCTAGCATACGTGTCTTCTCCATGTTTTGGCACACATGTCGTTCGACCGAAGGCTCATCCGCCACACAGGCAAGCGCGTTTCTCACCCTCCCGTCGAAGAATTCCTGGCCCCCCAACTGCACCTCCGACTCAACCTGCAGGATTTGCACTTGACAGATCCTACCAACACACCCTGGCCCAACCAGAAAGCCCACCACTCCACCCCTGTCTCCACATGGCTCCTCCTGGCTCACTGTCTCCGTCTCCACCGTCTCGGTCGCGGGACAGGACGCTTCGCTCACTTCCTCCCAGCGCTTCATGGCGCAGCGCTGGGCGTTTTGGGCATCCAACGCCACGGCATGGCCATTGGGCAAGAGCTGCGAGGCCAACTCCAATGCTTCAGAGTAAAGCTGATGGATCTGCTGCCTCAGCCGGACAACGAGACTTCAATAGAGCCGCGAGGTCCGCCGCGCCCACGTCGAAACGTGGCAGGGTCCGCCCTGGCGCCAGGGCTGGTCGCCAGGGCAACGAAAGCAACAATGCACAGAGCAAATCCTTCCCTGTCTTTCCCCAAGGACACCAAAAAGAACGTCCACAAGCAGGTTTTGGACTCCTTTTGCAATGTCCGCTCCCAATCTTCCAGAATGATAGATATTATTCCCTCTCTTCTATCGATCTACGGTCAAAGAAACCCTGAAAAGTAACAAAGGCCCACAGGAGTTGGCAGGAGGCATAGTATGCAAACAACGCATGTAAAGACCTCAAGGCAAAGAAATCCTTTTCAATAAAACATCAAAGCAAACACAGGCAAACTCCTCACACACGCACACACGAACAGTCCAATTCCCTGAACTCTTTGAGATAATTAGTCTACATGTCGTCTGGCAAAGACTCCAGCTTAGCTGAGTTCTTCCGAACTGCTTCTGGGAGTTTTCTCACTCACCTGTCCCAAACCATGTCATAAACTCCCAAACAAGTCTGTGTGACTTTCCCCTGGTCCTTAGGTCCGACGTTCCGACAGAGTCGCACGAGTGGCAGATTCTTGAGGGGAGACCAATTCTCATGTTCAAAGGGGCCAGGAGTTTCCACCAGTTTCATGTGGGGGGTGCTATCCATGGAGGTCGGGGTGCTTTTATCTTGCACCCACTCACCACCCCGACATGTGACCCCTGGGAGGAGGATTTTAGAGCCAACGAGCCGTGAAGTTCTGGTCCAGTCGCATTTCAGAGAAAGAGGGCGGCAGCTCTTCCTGCTCTCCCTGAACAGGCGCTGCCGGCCACGAAATCGAATCCAACAAACGAGACAGCACAGGTAGATCCTTTTAAAGGTTGGCTTTCCGAAGGCGTTGAACATGATACGCAAATCAACAAATACATGATACCCTGGCCGACCAATGGACACTGGCACCTGGCACAAAGAAGGCCGCTGGTGGATAGGCAGATTTCGGCCGACCAGTGAAGTCCCAAAGCAATCTCAAACGACGCTCCCATCAGCACTTCACTTCACGTGTTCTCCCACCGGGTCGGTCCGTGCTTTGAAAACCGTGCCCATCGTCGAACACGTGCGGAGGAACGTGTGCTGCCCACCTCCAGTGCTTCTATCTCCTCACCTTGCAGGTAAGGCACCACGGACACCAAATCAACACAAAGGAGCCTGGATCCTGTAGAGAAGGTCCTACCAATGAACCCATTGAAGGTTCAAGGGTCTCAGACATGAAAACAAACAATCAACGACGGCTTGTCCTGGTACGAAACAGCTGCAAGTTCCCACATGGAGCTTTGATGGCTTTGTTGCCAAAGCAACCACTTGACAGGGTCTCACCGGATGGGTTTTAGACATGGTTGCTGCATTTGGATCGCAACCACCGACCGTTCTGACTCTGGCCGGTGATGAAGAAGCACCGGAACCGGTGTTTTGGTCGCAGAAGTCAGCGGAGAGACGAAAGGTCCGATGTGACTCGTCCGGTGGAGTCACGTGTGGAGTCGCGTGACGGACTTGGAATCAACACAGACGTGTGACTTGGAATCATTTTAAGACTGGATGCAGTTGCAAACATTGATCCGAGATGGACTCACTCCTTTTTATGGTAACTACTCGGTCCGACTATTCCATACATGGAGTGTTCCGGAACAAAAATATGATCGCCCCGTGCCCATCAGCAAGCCGACTTGGGATCTTGTCTCAGCTTCAGTCGATCGATCTTGTCTCAGCTTCTGGCCCAGATGTTCTTGGAATATGGAATGACTGAAGATAACGACAAGAAAATCTGGACACCAAACTTCTAACAACATCTATAGTTGTGTCAAGCTTCTTGGAATGACTTGTTTGTTGAGATAACGACACCCAACTTGGAGTTCGCCACATTCCTCCACCTGTCCACAATGGACTCACGTGTCGAGTCTTCCTGCAGACTCAACAGTCTCTAGGCTGTGATAGGGTGTGGGAATTGAACACAACCACCACCACGGCCTCCGAAAAAGGAAACAATTCAACAAAAAAACAAACGCCAAGGGACCCTCCACATCATCTTCGCTTGGAAGGCCGCCACTTGGGAAGCCCACCATGCTTGTGGCAGTGGCGATGGTGACTTGACTGGTGGTGTGGCTGGCACTGCGCAGTGACCAAAGCAGCTGTGAGTGTTGGCTCTGCATCTCCTCCTGACGATGCGATCGCATTCGTGGAGATCCCGGAACTTCCCACATGGCCGGCGCATGGCTTGCACTGCACCTATGGGTGATGCAAGAACATGTCAAAACCACACAGCAATACCTCCGCAAAATCATGGAACAATGTCAGGAATAAGATGGAATAAGCAATGTTTACGGCCAAGGAAGACCAGTTCTAAGGAAGGGACTGTGGTTGCTTCTCATGCAGTGAACATAAGGACAGAAGTTCTCGATTGGAACCCGCCAAGGACAGGAAAACTGCCTCATGTCAAGCTGCACTTCGTTCTTATGCTCTCTACATCATGTGAGAAAAAGAACACGGCCATTTTAATCAGGACATGCAGCGAAAACATAGGACCGACACGCCCCTTTTTGTTCATCCTCCCATATGTTTTTTGAGCGACTCTCAACATCCATCCAGCCTTGCTCAAAAGGAACTCCATCTCCATGGCAATGCAAAGTCTCGATTGGATGCCGCAGCAAATGGCGCCTTGGCCAAAGCGATGCTTCGACGGAGCGAAGATCGTCACGGAGCAGTTGCAAAAAAAAAGAAAACTGCTTTGATTTCGACCGCCGCTCGGTGACCTAGAACCGCAAAAAAAAGTAGGACAATCATGAGGGATCTGTAGTGATTCATCAAGTGTGGTCAATAAACTTGTCCTTGGCAGGATGAGTCTGTTGCAGGTCGAGAACAGTGGGATGGAATAGAATTGAATAGATCTTCATGTTGTTTGGGGGACTTGACTTTATGATCTTTGTGCAGACTTAGTTTCTCCTAGGCCCTGTGACTGCTTGTCTTGTGCTTTGCCTGATTCTTGTCTTGTGCTTTGCCTGATTCATGGGGATTCCCTTCTTCATCCACTTGAGGCTCGTCTTTATCCAATCCCATCGATGTCTGCGCAGCTCGTCTTCATGTCACGTGCGGCCCCGACTCGGGGCCCGATGTCTTCGTTCGAACACGACCTGCTCGACTCGCTCGAATGGCAAGAGACGCTCCAGCCAGCATGGAGGATTTACGATGTGTGATCGTAGCGCCTTGGTCTTTGAGATTCTTCCGGTCCATCATCGAGACACAACAGCGATTTGACCATCTGATCTAACAAAGCCTGGCTTTCTAAACGGGGGAACCCGTTCCTTCAATACCCACCCAAATCCCCCATGGAGTCCATCTACCGACCTCAGACCGACCTATTTTCTTTCACTGCTTGCCCCTGGGCCGTTCGCGGACGTCCGAACCATTGGGAGACATCGTGTGCACGGCTCTTGGGCCGAAAAAGGAACGAGTCGAACCGAACGAGTGCAGTAGAACTTGGAAGGAATCTCTTTGACTCATCGGAGCCGCGGAGCCGCAGAAGATGGGGAGCCGCACGCGAAGACGGAGAATTCGGGGGGGAAGTGAACATGAACCGTGCTTCAGGATCCAAGATGATCGAAGATCACACAAAACATGTAGCAGCATATAATTAGTAACCCAACACCAATCTGCTGTGAAACTCATGTCGCTCATGTTTGGATCACCACTCGACCTTCGGTCTCTGGGGGTCAAACGTCGCATTACACCTGCCCGATGCGATCCCTAATCGATCCTCCCGCCCGATGCATCCGGGGCTTTGGGACCAACACCTTCGCGACTGGGAACCATAAGAAATCATACCCAAACACTCCATGGGACTGCCATATATGCCGATCAATTGACCCTCTGGCACCACCCCTGGCCTGATCGGCATATATGGCAGCCCCATTAGTCGCGTCTGGGATAAGATGACAGGTATGACACCCTGCCCAGCTTGGAACGGATGCCCAGCGATCTTTGCAGCTGCGGCGCCGGATGCGGTTTCCTCATGTCGCCGCTGGACTCTGCTTCTGCCATGTCCCAAGCAGCGCCCGTCAGGGTCGCCCACACGTCATCCAGCGACTCCTTGATGACGAAGTGAAGCAGCGCACGACGCAGGGATCAGGAGTGACCTTCTGAGTGAGCGAGTGAGCTGCACTTGTTTGTACCTGGACCCTCCAAAGTACCTTAGAAGATGGGACATGACCCTGTAAAAACAGGTATACTACTGTACCCATTTTCTGAAGTACGAACTGAGACTAGGTAGAGTGAACCAGTCTGTGGGTCCAGGAGTCCTTTTGATGGCGGGCTCGGTTTTTTGAAGCACTTAGAGTGTCCCCTTTCCATCCACTGAACTGTTCAGGGAGTGAGTCGACTGAGGAAACGTCATGTGGGAAGCCCTCCATGTCTCTCGACTGGGAACTTCCCAGTGAGCCACTAGACCAAGCCCGCTTTGAAAGAATTGTGAGCCAGTCGAAACAAGGGCTAACAATCAAGTGCTGACAGGCACAAGCAATTCACAACAAACAAGACAAATAAAAAGAACCAAATGGGAGGTGTCCCATCTACCTCAAACCCATACCCCTTAGAACATCCAAAAAGAACACCTCCCCGGACCGGGAACCCCTCAACATCCTACCATCGCACAAACGTCACGCTCGACGCGAAAAACCACCTCGGACCGCCACGCTTGGAACGACGCGAAGGTCTCCAGAGGTTGGGAGACCTAGGACCCTTCCCATCCTGTAATTAGTACATATGGGATGGGCATGGATGGGCTATGCTGTTCAACCTCTCCTGCATGCTGAAAGCATCCCCTATCCCGCCCACTGCAGTCCTTCGCGCGAATGGCCTCTTGCAGGGCTGGGCCATGCCGCCCGATTCGCGACAAGGCACAGCAAAGCTGCACCTGCACCCCCCCGCTGTGCCGTCGAACAACATCCAAGTGAACCATGCCCAGACAGTCCATGTATACCATATTTGCTGACATTGACCTCTGAAATCACCTCAATATAGGTATATGCCAGTCTCATGGAGTGTCTGGGATGGATAACCATGGCATCTTCGTTCTTCACTTTTCCGCCTGGACACAGCTGGCGGCCACCGTCACCACCAGAGGTGTCTCGTTGGGCGGTGCTGCTGTGCGGTGTGCCAAGGCCTCCAGATGATGGATGCGTCTCGTTGGGCCAAGGATGGAAAGCCTGCTACAGGGGAAACACGTCTAGTCATGCCTGAGTCCTGCTTAGGTCGCCTAGTCATGCATGCCACCGCTGTAATGAAAAGGGATGGCCTCCAACCTACTTGCGATGGCCTCCAACCTGATGGAGGAAAAAAACATCTCTGCCTGGGAGACCCCGATTTTGTGAGAACCCGAATGGGGGGGGTGTTACCCGGGTATACCTGCACCTCTCGAATTGAAGGGCGCCCTGTTGAGATGGTTCTGGTTGAGAGGCTCGGAAAGTGGGGGTTTTGGACCCAACATGTAGCATCATATAGCAGTTGGTTCCTCTAAGTCTCCAGGTCCCGATGGGTGCCGACTCAGTCACTCCGCCGGGCTAGGTTTGGTTTGACAGCCCTATAGGTTTGGTGTGCGGAAAAAAAAGGGACGAACAAAACCACCAGACCATGTCCGACATCATCCATCCTGTGGACTGGGAATGGGACCGACATCGGGGACCCATAGTTCTTGTGACGGGCAAGGTTGGCAAAGCCCGAGCACTCCCAGACCATCCATGGGGCTGGAATAGTTACACTTGCATGGTCAGCATTTTCATGGGGTGAATGCATGCATCATTTAACTACCTGGAGCAAAACCGTAATGACCAAAAAAACGGCCACGGCCGTACGACCAGGAAAATTCAGCCATTTGCAGTTTCAGGTATTCTATACATGAAGGATGAAGGGATGGTCTGCTGCCAAACCACGCATCCTCCGACCGTCACCACGACTCCTTCGGTGAACTCCCGTGGCTCGGTCCACCGGTGGAGAGCCACCGGTGAACGGATGCCGAGCTCATCGGGTGGACACCCACACCGGTGCCGTCTGGAGCTCCGAGAAGACCGGTGAACTTGGAGGATCCAATCGGTTTTTTTTGCGCTTTGAACCGGAGAGGTCGAAGAAACAACAGCATGAATGTGCCAATACCTTTTAAGTATCAAACATATGACGTATGTATAATTAAGTATAGATCTACAGTACATGTTTGTGTGTTCTCTTTTTCCTGGGTGAGATGAATGATCGACACCAAAAAGGATGTATGGACATTCTTCTCTGAGGAGTCCATACATGTCACATCCCAGGTTGGAGCCATCCCAGAGTTGGGCAGTGCCCAGGTGAGTTTTCACGGAAACCGAATGCATCTTCCTCTTGAATCCTGAACAAAAAGGAAGCCCAGCATCACAAAGCACGTAGATTGTAGAACAGTTATAGTATAACTTGTCTGACAATTCTTTGGACCATGCTACAGGAACCGCAGGGGGGATAGGGCAAGTGCGCATAAGGATAACGCAGGAAGCGCACATGAGCATGCAGTGAGCCTGCAGTGAGAAAGATTCTACTGTATTCGTGGTTACTCTAAACCCAAATAATGCAACACTAAAAACTATAAAGACTTCCGGAACAGCAAACTCCCTGGGATGGATGGAATATTGCAAACTAGAACGTTGATGTTCTGATCGATTTATATGGATTTTTGAGGTCTTCCCAAGGCACGTCCAAAGGCATGATCTTGCTTGGTTCTGAACGGCCCTGTGATGTGTTGAACAAATTCAACATATCCTGACCACCTGGCGTCTTTTCTTCGCTGTTCTCGAAAAAGAGCAGAGCAGCTTAGCGTCTTCTCCCAGCCAGGCGGCCAGATTGTAGGTGCGGCGCAGCAATGTGATGGCCCCGCGGTAGTCCCGGCTCTTGATCTTGCCTAGGCGCAGGAGAGAAACAATTCTTAGTAATGATGGAGGGGGGCAGGTTACGCATGTGGTCTTGTTACGCATGTTGAGCTGCAGTTGCCGAAGCAAAGGAACAAATGTATCCAAGTTGTCGTGACAAGTGATGACCAAATGACCAGGCTATACATGGCTACACCTTGGACATTATTCCCTTGGTATTGGGCCACCAGAGGGACTCAGCTATTCAGGTGGAAGCTCGTTCCCTCAAGGTGGAAGGAACACCTAACAGCAGGAGCATCCAAGCAGAACTGTCATAGATTCATTAGAAGCATGTTCAGTCATTGCCATTTTGATAGTCTTGAAATATGTCTATACTATGTTTCACATCAAGGCCGCTCAATCCTCAGTTGCATGTAGCATAGCATCCATGTTTAAGATATATCGAGATGTGCACGTTGATATGCGAGCAAAAATATAACTGATATAATGCACATCTTGGAAAGTACTAACCTGGACCTTCCAACTGCCAAACAATTATGGTTGTTTTGGTTTTATGGTCGTTTTGGTCGTTTTGTTTGTTTTGCATTATTTTGCGGATTTTTGTGGTCGTTTGCTGTTTTTTTTGCGCGCGTTTTGTGCTAATTTGCGGTCGTTTTGTCGGTTGCGCTGATTTGCGTTAGCGCAGAAAACCGGGTCAACAACCAAAACCACCAGAAATTGTTGGTCGTTGGAAGATCCAGGAAGATGGGTTGATTGCCCAGAACGGAGATCGAATGAGTGGTTCATGCACGACTGGAGCTTTCGTCTTTAACATCAACCCTTGAACACACCTCTCCCCGTCTCATGGTGGAAACAAGTCCGAAACTAAGCCTTGTTCAAACCTAGAAGTCAATGGTTGAGGCCTAACCCGTTTCAAAGTTAGGCCTCAAGCATTGACTTGGCACACCACATCAAATCCTAGTTGAGCCCAAATGAGTGACTTGCACGTCTCCAGCACGACTGCACGACTGTCAACTGCACGACTGAGACCCGGAAAGCAAACGAAGAACACACAAGGCAACCGAGAAAGCACACGTTGAGGACACCAACTGAGGAACAAGTGCATCGCTACTAGTAACAAGTGCCTTACTAGTAGAAACAATGTTCGCTATTAGGAACAAGTGCCTTACTACTAGTAACAATTAGAATTTAATTTAAATAGCTGAGGCAACCCATCCAAATAGTAATCTAAATAGTAATTTTTTGTTAAATAGCTTCTTGTTACTACCCGTCTGAGACCTCTCCGACCCGTCCACGACTCTCCGAGCGTTTGAGTCTTCTCCAACCACGGCGCCGTCGGCCACCTCCGCCTGACGGTCCACGACCGCCAACATGGCCTCATCGCGGTCCTGCCGAGTGAACATCGGTCATACCGGTGAGCGTGGGTTCATTTCTCTGTAGTTGGGCATGGAACACCAATAGAACATGGATTATCCATTGAACATCAAAAAAAATAACATGTATGCTCAAAACTATCTCAAAACGCATACAAACTCAACAAGCGCCCCCTGCAAGGATATTCAAAAAGCATCTGAGCGCAGAATGGGCTGTGTCGAGCACCAACCAACCAACCAACCAACCAATCCTTCGTCCCTGCTCCACGTGCGCCAACCAAAACGCTGCTCCCCCTCGCACTGTCTATAGGTGTCTATAGGTGTCTCCAGGAATGGCGCTGCCATCTCCGTGCCGCTCCTTCGCCGTCTGCAGGGCATTGGGGCCCATGGGTCGCTTCGGATCAAAGGCATCTGGGCGGATGTTGTAACCTCTCGCCGCGTCGCCAGGGAGACCGCCACGCGGGGTTTCCCGTCTCGGGTAGACGCGATGTTCTCGGAAGACGACCGCATGGGGATGGTTCTGTGGTGCTTGGGTTTTTGCATGTTGAAGCAAAACAAACACCTGAAGTCAGAGATGTCACCGGAAAAGTAAAAAACAAAAAAAAGTGAGTGTTTTCAGTGAGCATGTTGAAGTCAGAAGTCACCTCTGAAGAAGCGAATGCGACGAACGAACGAACGTCCAAACCCGGCCCGATCGACCCCTCGGACCCCTCCGTCGGCCCCGGAGCGCCCGCCGAATCAAGCCGAATCGGTCGGTTCGAAGGAAACACCCGGATGGACCCCGCGTTTGGTCGCGTTTTGCAAATTATTGGAGACTGGTGCTACTGATATCTACCTGGATCTTCCAACCCAACAAATTCTGGTAGTTTTGGTTGACCCGGTGTTCCGACAAAACGACCGCAAATTAGCACAAAACGCGCGCAAAAAAAACCAAATCCGCAAAATAACGCAAAACAAACAAAACGACCAAAACGACCATAAATTTTTGGTAGTTGGAAGGTCCAGGCAATCGAGTATTCCCAAGTTGGATGGCACGGGTGATGTCTCTTGTTTCGTGTCGTGGGTGTCTGGATGGTGTCTGGATGGTGTCTGGGTCCTTCGTTTTGGTGTCTTTCTCTCGCTGAGCCACTCGCCAATGTTGGCTTCGAAGCGATATCCAGTGCCATGGCGGTTTTCTATGTCTTGGATGATCGGATGACCGTTCTGTGGCTGCTGGGATTGCTGGGAGGGTGCCAACGAAATCTTTTCCACTTTTTCAAGGCAACTGTCTTGAAGATAAACCTTCTGGGGCAACAGCAGGTGAGGTTGAACTTCCTAAAGGAGTGAGACAGTCGACCTGTTGCAGGAATTCCGTCCGAAATGTATGGATTCGCCGTATGAAGCACTTGGCATCAATCAGGTTGGTGTGAATTTTTGGCACTACTTCCATCTATTCTGGATCCTCTTGAGAAGTTAGTCCATCGCAGTGCACCTTGCCGTGTCGCAGCTTTTAAAGGTCCAAACCACGTTGACTCTTCGTTGAAGGTGCCCCTTCGCTGGAGAAACCAGATGTTTCCTTTGGGGGAGCGTGGCATGCAGTGGAATGCTCCATGCCACTGCAAAGTACTGCATGGACCCTGTTTTTCCAAGGTGACACGGCCGTGACACGGCCGTGGAAGAACATCTTGACACACCACTTTTCAGGGTCCGGTTTCGGGAATTTCGCATCAGTGGAGTGAGTGAAGACGCAGTCTCAGAGTTTCTTTACAAACTCCTCAAAGGTGGGATTTGCTTCCTTTCATGGATGCAATATGATGCAATCCTTTAGGTCTTCTTCATTCTCCAACTTCCTGGTGGAGGACTTCATCGAATCACATCTTCTTTGATTGGTGCAACGAAGCTTGGAACAGCACGCAGCCATCGCTGCTGATATGTAATTTAGGGCAGCATTGGCTGTGAAAACAAATGAAAACAAACATAGGAGCTTAGCTAAAGCCTACAGGGCCTACAGCTATGTGCTTGTTTGAGCAAGCTTCGTCTCGAAACCGGGGGGGGCGACCAGAACAGCTATGCACCTTCCTTTCGCTTCCTTTCATCTTTTATCCATGACAAATGACCGTTTTTGTCCGTAGATCAACACCCTTGCTACATGTTCATCATTCCCTTTTTGTGTGGGTGTCAGAGGATGATGTGGGGCAACAAAAGCAAGCATCCTGCCAATCAAGACAACTCTTCCGGAAGTCAGAATCTCATGCCGCCACAGTCGAGTGCACGCTTGCGCCAGCTGGTTTCATGAAACATTCATGTGCCCATAAACCAGCACCTCACTGATACGACATCAGGCACTTCCTGGCATCGCGGACCCATCGGCTTCCCCAGCCGGCCGCGCGGGACCAGTCCTTCGCTCCGTTTCTCGCTGTTGGACCGAACCCGAACTCACGGCGCCACCCGCGCGCGCACGACCGGGCGCCGCTGCTCCGCGGGCGGCGGATCAGCCACCTCGGACGGGTGACCCGGCTCTCCAGCTGGGCTGTAAGAGGTCAGTGGGTCATGGATGGGTCATGGGTCATTTTCATGAGGTACAGGGTACATGTTGGGGGAGTCCTGTTAGGATATACTGAAGGTAGGCAGGTATAGGTGTATCTATTGTGTGGACTCAATAGGCACACTGACCCCCAGACCCAACAGTTTTGGTCTATGTTCTTTCTTCCAGGGAGTCTTTGGGAGAAATCCCTATTTTGATCCACACCCAGTCCAGTCCCATGGATGGTCTGGGGATGTCCCGGTGAGCTGTGAGACACATTGAAAATCATTGAAACTCAGCAACAACATATTTAACCAATCATCCTGAAGATGCGAAGACAAACATTGGGTCATCCAAACAGTGCCAGCGGTTTCATTGGACGTGGCATTTAGAAGTTTGATACTGCGCTACTCCAAGATGTTTCCCAACAACAATCCAAGAGACTGGAATATGTACCTACATTCAAATTCACCCTGAACACGTTTTGAGCTGGACAAGGCAATACCCATCACATCATCTCCCAGTCCCATAATCAGAGGTTGGTCTTCCAACCCGAATACTGAACTTCAACTTCTTCACGACACCGACACCAGCCCAGCGCATCGGTGTTTTTTCAAACGATCCGAATCGCGAACAGACCCGGACCTCAGACCTCAAAGACTCGATGGCAACGGCGACAGGTTGGTCCGGTCCCCGAAAACGCTGAGTTCTGTTAGGTTCTGTTTGGTTCAAAGACCAAATCCGCTTGGTCCAGTGGATTTGAATTCTTCAATGCCTCATGTGGTTGGTCCTGTCCCCAAAAGATTCTTATGACAGTCCGGTATGTTGAGGTTTAATTGGTTTTATCATCCAAGTGGGAGGGGTTATTAATCAAGCATCTGCATGAAGTTGTTTGATCGTCCAAAACACGAGCTGCCCCAGCTCTGGCCCAGAACAACATGTCTCTTTTACCGTTTTGAATGGGTCCGGTCCGTCTCGTAACAAACATCACACCTGTGGTACACAGCTGCAGCATGGTCGACCCTCAGTTTCAGGATCTGGGTCCGGGGTTTCGCCTTGGGGAAGCTGTGGTTCTCCGTCCAGATGGACCAGGAGGAACGACGGTCCAAGTGACTGAACTTGGAGAAAACGATGATGGCACAGGAGACACAGAAGAAGTTGAAGACGAAGAACACTCCCATGCTCTTGAAGACAAACCTGAACCAAACAACACACGGTGGGCGTCCAGCAACGTGGCCCAGTGGCAAAACAACATTGAAAACCACATGGTAGCTGGGCCTTTGCATGATCTTTGCGAAGTCTTGGGCACTTTCAACAAAACCCAGTGGGTCTTGTTTAGAGTTCTCCTATAACCAATGGGTGTTCCCTTTTCTACGAAACAAAAGGGTGATGTTTTGAGGACAATCATAACCACATGATGCGTGCAGATGCTACCCACGCTACCCGATCCATTTGGGGATGTATCAACGGATCAATGGAGTATCTATAAAGGCGGCACAGGGAACCCGAGGCTCAATGGACCCGAAAAGCTAGGGTTTTGATCCTCACAACTAGGGTCTTGGACCTCAAATCAATACGCAGTTTGAGGCTCCGAGCCTCTTGGATGAATACGATTCGATGTCTTGTCGATCGCCGGAAAGTGAAGCAGTAACTGCGTTGCTCGGTCACCCGAGACTGCTGTCGTCCTACCAAGTGGCGGGACCAAGAGTGCTGTTCATAGGACGTGTTTGTGTGAAACACGATCCTCATGTGACTCATCTTCTTCTCTTTTTATGTCAATATATGTCAATATGTTGTCTTGGTATGTCTTGGTATGGTTTCTACTTCATCTTGCGAGCCGATCTGCTTCGACCCAAGAGCACCGAGAGCGGCCGAAGGCCGCGACTGATCCACTGCCTGTGTCCATCACTGATCCACTCGTTGGTGAGTGCCACCTCGGAGAGGGGACACACAAAAGCTGGTGGGTGAGGGAACTCACCTTGAAAGCCTGACTACATAGTCATTGCAAGTAAATCCTCCCGCGAGTCCAACATCTTTCAACACCACCAATGTTCCCATTCAAATGTCCACATTGCTTCAACACTCGTTTGTTCGCGCCGCCAAAAACCTGTCGGCGCAGTTCGCCAGCTGTGGCCGTCGAACGGCGTGGATGGCGCCAGCTGTGGCCGAGACGCGGGGATTGCTCCCAGCAGCTTCAGTGTTTTGGATCTCCATTTTCGACCGCCCAAGCGGGTGGCGACAGCGCGAAGCAGGAAAAGACCAGTCCAGAGGCCATGCAAGCGGCGGCCTGGAAATGGATCAGTCCAATGGAGCCCAAATGAATCAATGCCTGCGTGGAGATCATCGAGTAGAGACATGGAATGATACTCTTGGCACAAATCTCACAGGCAGCCGCCATGCCAGCACAATCTTTCAGTGGTTGAAAGAACAGCACATTCACGGAGAGCAATGCCATGATACTGACGCCAGCTTGCAGAAAGGATCCCACCAAATAGGCCCAAATGAACTCGGAAAAGAAACAACCAAGAACGAAAGCGATGATGCCGGTCGATGCATAAAGGAACACTGCAACCTTGGCGCGGCAAAGAATACTACCGAGAGGGAGACTCTTTGCAAAGAGCAAGCCAATGCCGTTGATGGCTCCAAATGTCAACATGATCACCGAAGTTGTCATTGTAGATTGGTGGAAGACGACCTGGGCAAAGTAGCTGACATTGGCATTAAAGGTCAAATATGCCCCCATCATACAGCTTTCGGTCAACAGCAAGCAAAGAAGGTGTGGATCCAGAATCCGCAGTACATCTTTCAAGTAGTCGTTGCGCTCTTGATCGGGACAGCTTTCAACCATGGCGATGTATGAATAGATTGCCAGCATGCCCCAAATTGCTGACAACACAAAGAATGACATTCGCCAGTTGAAGAGCTCTGCAAGAAAGCCTCCAATGACAGGTGCGGCCAACATACCACCAATGGATATCAACTGCAAGGCAGCAACTATACCGAAGCGCTGCTCCGGATTGGGAAAATAGTCCCGAGTCATCGCAAAAATCACTGGCTCGACAGATTCTCCAATCCCCTGAAGAATGCGGGCAGCTACAAACCATTCCACACGACCAGCACATCCGCAACAAAAACTTGCCAAACTCAACAAACACATGCAAACCAAAAGGGTGGGCCTTCGGCCGATGCGATCTGATAGACCCGCAGTGAATAGACCAGCCACTGCTTTCACAACGAAGTTCATCTGAACTGTGGCACTCATCAGTCCCTGAGAACCGGATAAGTCAATGCCCATCTGTGGAAGGCTAGGCACATACTGATCGGTGGTGAAATACGTGAAGGCGTACACCGTGCCCATGAAGACCACCCAACTGATAGGACAACCATCCTTCACACTTGAATGCTGAGTCGCTTTGCCAGGCACGCCACAAGAGGTCAAGTAAGCACAAAGGAGAAACAAGCAAACGAACGTGCAACCCACCAGAATGCTGCTGACATACTCCAAGCGCATTGACAGCAAAGGCACTGCGGAGTCTACGGTAAGCGGTCCAATGTCATTCAATTTCTCATCAGCATGCAAAGGTGCAGCCAGCGAAAAGAAAGTAGTCCATGTCCCATATACATATGCCCACGTGGTAGAAATTGATTTGGCAACGGAGAAACTATTGCTTTGCAAAGTGCTATTTGCATCCGTGGTCAGAGTCCCTGATTTGTCGGGGATCTCAATTCGCAGCTTTGCTGCTTGAGTTGTGCAGCACAGGCAAAGGAAGAGCCACAAACTACTGTGGACTCGCTTCATTGGATGGATCTGTTGACATCTTGAGCCAACACGTCTGACATGTCGCGCCTCTGGTCGGTGACGGGGTGACATGGGTCTCATGAGCTTTGGTTTCATGATGAGCTTTGGGACAACAACTCCATGAACACGACTGGGCTTCTCAGTTTTTTATGTTCTCCTCTTGCACATGAAGACATCGGATTTGACGGATGCTCATCGATTGGAGATGCTCAAGAGATCTGACCGTCAGTGTTCGAATCAGCAATCGCGCAACCAGTTCGTTGAATGTGTCCTACTCGTCTCAGCGGTGTTTTCGGGTGCCAGTCGTACCGCAGGTTCGGCATCGTGGCCACAGCAACACACGGGCCTTCGTTCCAGGGTCCGCGCTGGATCCTGCACCCAGTGGAAGAACATGGGATGCTCCGTCCTGGAAAGGCCAAATTGATGTGACCACCAAACACATTGCTTCGGACATATCTCGGAATGCATTTTGACATCATTTTACAGCATGTTTACCATATTTTAACGATGTTTTACCAAGAAAAGATGGTTGGGAACTCAAGAGAATGGTCATTATAAGGGGTTCTGTTTAGTAGGTGATTTCCCATCTTCGAAGCTGTATTTCGCTAGACCTGAGTAGACAAACTCAATAGAGTGAAAGTTGGAGCTTTTGAATTAAGCACATCATTTTTAGGGTCCAAAACTTGACCTAAAAATTGAACCCGGTCTAACACGGTCCAAAACGAGTGGTTTTCAACCACTTCCATTTCAACAGACCCGTTTTGGACCCCAATACGACCGGGTCCAAAACGGTCGAAGACGACCGCCGTGGAGCCCGAAGCTTGGGACCGAGGAAAACCTCTGAACAGCGGGTGATCGGGGGATTCAGCACTGCTGCGTGAGCCGAAGGTGAACCAAACAGCAAGGTGGTGGGTTCTGAAACGAAACGACATGGGGTTGTAAAATAAGGAGACCTCCGGATTTTTGTGGAGGGAGATTGACCCAAACCCCACCCAAATGCCATTCCAGTCTAGCCAACAGCGCAAGTCAGCGATCAGCTGCTCAGATCAAGAGACCAGACCCCAAAAGCGCTTGGCAGTGCGCAGTGCTTGCTGTGAAGGGAGACAATCCACGCCGCGGCTGAACAGGTCGTCGAGGATCAAACGCCACGTCTACCCGCCCGTCGGACTTGTCGACCAAAGCGGAAGATCACCATATCAGCATGATGCAAGGAGGAGTCTTTGGAGAAATCCCATGACTTGTGCCAGTGGTTTGGTTTGGTCTGAAACGAGTTCTGAACCCTTGCAGCACACGATAGCATTCCTGGCCCACCATTCAATGTGATCACAAATTCCAAAGAACCCTTGAGCCATGCTGAAAACCTCCCCCCGCGTAAGCTAAAACTGCGGTCGCGTAAGCTCTGCGTAAGCTTTGGCGTAAGCCAGACATTTCCAGGTTATGTCATATCGATGCTGCGTAAGCAAAGCCTGCAATGGCGTAAGGTGGCGTAAGCAGCGGCGTAAGCAACACCCCCGCGTAAGCTGAAACTGCGGTCGCGTAAGCGCGGCGTAAGTTTTCGCGTAAGGCAGTTCTTACGACATAGGAATCTATCAAGGTTTTCAGCATGGCTCCCTTGTTTTCCGAGATTCTATTCTATAGACTCAAGTCCAGGATCGACATATATATTCCTTTATAGTGGACCGGTCGTGACTGGCGGCTTCGTCCTGATGTTGTAAGCCGCCTCCGCCTGCTGCACGGCCAAGCGGTAGAAGGGTCGCTCGACGTCGCCTCCGGTCGCGGCGGCTCAAGCGGCAGAAGATTCGCGAGATCGAAAAGAACATCGTGTGGAAACAGAGTAGATGGAACAATCTCGATGATTTTCACACAAGTACTATGACAAGTAGGGCTTTGTGCCAACTACTCTGAAATCACTGTATGACGTTCTCTGAAGTGGACCGGGATTCGACATCGCTCGACCACTCGACACCACTCGACACCACTCCACTCGTGCCCAACGGGTGGCCGCCGGGCCGGATGGTCACCCACAACGAACGTGCAAAGAGTGGAAGGAGTGGCAGGGACGCTACGAACGTAGCTCCTGGCCTTACTAGGAACAACAAGCTATAGGAACGGCATCGCTACGAACGGAGCTGTGGAAGGAGTGGAGCTCCGAGTCTCCGAGTCTCCGAGTGAATTGGATGGAGATTAAGACCATCAAGGTCTTCGAAAGTCATCGAACCCACTACCCTAGGGATTGGGTATAAAGGTATAACGGTATAACATAGTTAGACCATATTATAGTACCCTGCGAGTCCAAAGACCTAGTAAAACCAGGTTAAACCTGGTCTTTTAACTCCTTGAGTAGTGTTTTTGTATATGACCAACTCCAGTAAAATGAGGTCATTGATGGTCATTGACTTGTAGGTATATAGTATATGATAAGTATTGCAGGGATGTCGCGCTTTTGCGGCATCATAACCCTCAAATCTCTATATGTCATTCCATCAGAGGTTCCCCATGGTTCCTCCTCACTTCACTCGTCGTCCGCGCGTCTCCGTCGGTCCCGACTCATCAAGCGAAGTCCTGCCCGGGCGTGGGCGTTGTTGTACCTGGGCGACACATGCGACTGGACGACCCAAATCGACTCATGTGGTAAAACCATGTAAAACACCGCGGTGGGGACTGGTCAAGAGCTGGAAGGTCGGTCGCCCCTATTGGAAGAGCTAGGTAACGACTTTTGTTCAAGACTGCAGTGGTGATTCTTACTCACCCAACCGTGGGAGTTGGACCAATCTTTCACTCCAAAACTAGTAGCAATCGTAATCGTGGGAGTAGGAATCTTTCAATCGAACAGCTGGCTGGTTCGAGGCTAGTCCCGTAAACAAAGCCTAGGGATCCAAGTACCTTCTCAGAAGGTACTTGGAGCATCCAAACCTACAAAACAGTGTCTCCAAACACCTTTTGAGAAGGTACGACTGGATCCCTATAGGGAAAGCACACTCAACACCATGTTCGCAGTATGTTGGTGACCGCATTGGGAAGGCCGCCTTCCAACGCGGACGCGGACCGACCGACCGAGGTGACCTGTCCCGAGCGGACCACGAAGCGAACGTCGCGAACGAAGCGACGTAGGCTACGAGCCAATATCCAAAGAGGTGCCCACTGGATTTTAAAAAAAAGAAAAACATTGTCCACTCACTTCATGAAAGAGACCAGAAACCATCATCACTTTGGAACTCCTGGTGTAAGTTGCGATCCTGAGAAGTTGTTTCACCAAATGTGTGGCACCCTATACATCATGCAATCCAATTTGGCATGGAGCAACTTCATCGAACTCGTCAACATGCAAACCTGACCAGCGATCGCAGCATGTCACCATCACTTGACCCTCAACATCCAAATGCCCGCCCCACCCCCTTTCATCACACCTCGCTTTGTCCGTTCTCTGACATCGCCATCGCCCAAAACACCCTTCGGTCCCCTTAGCCCTCCAAAGCCCCTCCCGTTCAACTCGTCCTTCCTCCGCCCGCGTGGACCGCCCGTGCGCCTCGCATCCGTCGCCCTGAGCTCCCCCGCTCGCCGCAGCGGAAGTCCGGCGACTGGCCCGGGCAGCAGTTCACGCCTGGGGACCGGACGGCCGGTTCGGACGGCGGTTTGGACGGACGTCGGCGTGAACGTGGCGATGTTTGGTTGGGAGACGTGGGGAGGTCTGTGCGTGGTGTTCTTTTTTGAGGGGGGGCGGAGGAATCAGGAGTCTGGACATGTCCGGTCTGAAGAATGTGGGTTCTTTTTTTCAGGATTCAGGATTGACATGGATCGACAAATATTGACACTATATGTGCCTTTTTTCCCCCATGGTCACCTGCTTCTTTTGTGTGAGGATGTTTTGGGCCCGAAGTTGGGGAGGAAATTTGGAGGGCTGGTGGTGGAAGTGGTTGGTTGACGCTTTGCATTTTTTGGGCTTGATGTCGCTTGGTATAGAATGGTTTTACATGGTTTCACCCTGTAGGCCGACAAGAATGAGAGTGGCAGTCTCTGATAGCACTTCTGTGGGCAGGGTTGCAAGTTGTCATAGCTCACCTCTCTCAGGTTTGAGGGGTTTTCCTCCCTTTCCCCCGGTCATGAGAAAACAAAATAAAAACAAGGTGAACCAATGCGATCCAATGCGAGCTTTTTCACCAAAGCAGCTGGTCTTTGGTCCCACCTTCCAGTGATCCCACCGACTGTTCCACGTCGACTCCTTACGCCCAGTGACCTACAGCCCAGAAGTCGTAAGATGCCATCTGGTCCTGGAAGAAGGAAGCGAGCACAGATGGAAGAACTGACATCGGTGGAATCACTCAGACACGACGATCCATGGGACTGCCAGTTCGGACTGCCGCCCCAGACAGACCCCCCTGGCACCACCCCAACTGATCGGCATATATGGCATACATGGAAATAGATATCCAACGACTGATATCTGCAGCACCCATTTGGGGTGATTATTGGAAGGTATGGTCATGTGGGGTCTATCAGCCACCCGAACTCGGTGCTGGTGATTCTTCCGAGGCCGAAGTAACTGACGTAACCTCACCGGGGGAGGTCCCAAAGTCTTGATCGATGCTCACGTAGCCTCATGTGGCGCCACATGTGCTTTAGCTCCCCCCTTAAGGTACACGTTCACATGTGTGTTTTCCAACGTGATTCACTTCCAAAACCTCGAAATCGCAAGGTACAGCACAAACAGCATCTACCCATTCTTGTATTTGCCCCAGTGCTTCATTCAGGTGAAGTTGTTGCCTAAGCTTGGCGAACTTGGCTCACCAGTGGACCAGGAACGTCATTGGACGGGCAAACGCCTGGCCTGACACACATAAGCCAGCTTCCGCTGACTCATGTTGCTCATGTTATCCCACCTCACCTGGCAGTTAAACTTTTACCAAACTACCAAAAGGGGCAACACAAGTTGTGACTGGACTCTCAGGGTAAATAGACCAAAATCCTCCAGGGGTTGACGAGGTGTCTATCAGGCACCAAAAGGGGTGCCCTACCGGGTGACCTGTATTACTGCTGCTAGTAGCGATTGGTCAAAACCTGTCCCCTCCCATGTGTTGTGTGGCGACCTGGGTTGTCACATGGGAAAGACATCGGTTTTGGGGTGCGGTGCAGCGACCTTTTTAAGTATGTGATCCCCAAATGGATATTGGCACGTTTTCCAAACCATTCTTTGTGGGGATCTACCTTTTCTATCAATTTGGGGTTCTATCTATACTCTGCATCTGGATTCGCGTCACTGGAGCTTCCTCCCAACCCCCCCACCATTTCCCGACCACTTGATGTACACCATTGACAAACACCTGAACCTGACAAATCTTTCACACGCGCCGCGTGGCGGAGAAAAAAAACGCTCCAAACTCAACCGACGGCACCTTGCCCAGGATGATGGGTGCCACGCAGTAGGTGTCGTCGTTCTTAAAGCCTGTTGTGGTTCGACATGGTTCGACAGATCCCCGGAATGTGCAGAGGGAATTCCGCAGGCCAACCAGAGAGGTGGTGGGAGATGCCACTTTAGTCCTTTTGAAATAGCTTAAGGAGCATTCTCTCTGAGCAACCCAGCCTAGTAAGCTGGTTCACGGAAGCACTGGCCGTGACAGAACATGTGACCGTCAGTGTTTTGCCAGGGGCCCCATGTGCGAGCTGACTTGCAAAACAAATGTGATGTAGTTGCTGACCGCGACTATTTGTGTTATATAGTGTATAGTGCTGCTGTGAATTAAAGGAAGTGGATTGAGAGTATATTCTACAGATTTCAGAGGGTCAACTGGTGTGGGGTGTGCCAAGGGGTCGCATGGTTTGACGAGTTTCCAGGCCATGCAAAGAAACATCTGATTCTGATACAAGAAATATCAAGAAACTACAAACTTAATAAATACACAATATTTGGTCTGGGCAGGGCATGAATAGTTGCCCACAGCCCCAATCCAACACTTAGTAGGCATCTGAACACTTTCTTTCCAACATGTCTGGCTTACCACACTTTTGGTCGTGAATACAAGGTCTGAACCTATGAGTGCAAGTGGTTGGATCTACAGGTAGGGACACAGCTTTTCTAAAGACATAACAATTATACTATAGCTAGCTACTATATACAATACTACTACATAACATAGCACTACTTGTAATCTATACAATATAAAATGGTCAACAAATACTACAATTTGACGATCATTTGACCCTCGATTTTAGCCCACCATTCACCCAAGTAAGATCTTTGTTCCTATCAAAACAGGGACCAAATCGCTTCTAGGATTATTCATCTCCATGAGGCTGCAACGACCGGGAGGGCCATGGGCACCTCCCCCCGACTCTCACGGATTCCGGCGCCACAGAGTGTGGCGCCAGGTGCCCCGACTCATGGCTTTCTTGAGATCCAAGGCAGAGCCGTCCACAAAATACAAACGGCCGGCCTAAGACCGCAGAAAGCATCTGCATTCACCCTGCTCCATGCCGGGAGCGGAAGTACTGCCCTATGAACATGATTCATCCATTTGTAAGTTATTGCCACTAGTAGCGATGCCCTTGTTACATTTTTTTATAGTACTGCCAGGAGCTACGTTCGTAGCTTCTGGTTTATCACTTCTATCACTCTTCCAGTCCCACAATCGGATGGTCTCTTTGAGGTCCTTCACTGACCTTCACATTACACCCGACTCACTCACCAAGTCACACACACCCTCATCGCTAGGGCGCCTAGCCTCGCGCTAGCCTCGCGCGCTAGCCTCGCTGGGTTTCAAGCATCCATCAGCTGTTGTCCCTTCGTGGCAGGATTCACCTCGAGACCCGTGTGGAACGCACGGACCGGCCGCATGGTGCGCCACGGAGGAGTGCACGAGTGGATGGACCTGATTTTGGTCTTGGTTTTGGTCCACCGACCGGTTTACCCATGGTACAAGGGGTTGACCCATGGATTACCCATAAACCCATGCTGAGATGGATGGACCTGTACTCCCCGCCGTACACAGGACGTGTTTTGGGGACCAGGGGACCTCGACCCGCTTTTTCACAGGCAAAACGAAAGGAAAAGCGAACAAACGTTGACACAGTGGCCACTCCGGCGGAAGAAACACGGGTCCGTGGTAAACCAGCAGCCCTGTTTGTTTAAAGAAACATCGTCATCCAAGGGTTCCGTTTTCCACTTCCACTTCCACGTGAGTCGGAAGGTAGCAAAATGCTCTCAAAAGATGTTTGGATCATGCAATGTCTGCGCTTAAGCAACATCAAGGATCATCTGGTGTACCACCGACCTATAATGCAGAACACTTCGAAACCTTGGGCCCGCATCTGGTTCCCGGGCAGTTCGGCCGTTTACCACGCCCCCGGGAAGCCGGACATCTGGATAGGCGTTCCTCGGTGGAGTACTGTTCGCGCGAAGTACCAAACAGGCAAACGAAGTACCAACGCCTATCCGGTTCCAGCCATGAAACACAAACAAAGAGGTCGAAGCAAACAGCAGAGTCGAAGCTGTCGACGGACTTGGACTGGACTGCGGCATGTCTGTTTTGGCTTCCGGGGACGCTGTTTGGGGCTTCGCTCTTGTGATCCGAACAAAAGATCACGGAGCAAAACCATCGATCTGCACAGATCCAAAACGGCCAAAGTATGCCGTCTTTAAACGTGTGGAGAGCACTGTGAGCGCCTGTGAGATGAGAAGTCTACAGGACGACATGTACCAAATCGCTGGTTGGTCTCCCGAAAAGAGGTGAAACCGCTCCACCCGGGTCGGCGCTTTTTCGCTTTTGTCCACGTGCCCACGCCACGCTGCGAAACACCCCGTGCCGTGCCCAGTGGCATGTTCTTCAGGTCATATGCCGCGACGTTGTAGGTCCTCCCGACTTCCCCGCGATCGGCCGCGACCGTCCGCGTTCGTTCGCGGCCACGAGATAGGGGCGTTTTCGTGGGTACCGGCGACGGAGGGACGACTTGTGGTGGGACACGGGGACGGCACGGCGCGTAGTGAGTAGGACCGAACAGCTTGCAGTGCTGCCTTGCAAGGAAGGACCTTTTTTGGGTCGAGAAAAGCGAACAGTTAAGGATGAAAAATGACAGAAAGCAACAAAGCTTCGCTGGCACAGAGACTCCTGTCCAAATTAGTTCCGTTTGTGTTTCTATCCCAAACCAAGCATGGAACACACGCAAAAATGTTTATTTCATTTTATTTCTGAAGACCTGGCCAACAGCTCATTCCATCGATGGCTTGATGTTGGTCTTCTGAGCCTAGAAGCTGCATACCACACGCCACACAGGTGAGTAAGCATGGTGGAAATGGCCAATAGAAATGGACTTACCCCCAACCCAAACACCTCAAAGCCTTCAAACTCTCACAAGTCAACGCTCTCGCACTTATGCACTTATCTACCAAGCACTCCTTAGTAAGCCAAAGTTCTTCCACCCAAATCCACGGAATCTCGCCGCAGCCCGACGAGACCCACCAGTTCGGTCGACGAGGTCTACCGAACTGGAGTAGGGCGAGTGAACCAGCGGACCAGACAGTGAAAACAAGTCAAAGAGCCGACCTGAGCACAGGAACTCACTTCAAATGGTGGCTGTTTTGCAGCAACTGTTTTTTCGATTTTTTTGGGGTGACTGAACCACAGGCGCAAAGCCCCACAGGCGGGATTCAAGAATCTCCTGTAGTTAAACTCTCCACAAGCCGCAGCTGCCAAGACGGCTGCCGCGATTGCGAAGCTGAAGAAGGCGTACCTTGGCCAGTACTTGGAACACGAAGCCACGACCCAGACGCTCCGTTCACAGCCCTCAAAACGATAGGGATTGGTTCGACCCCAGACCCCTCCAGATGAGACCCCAGACCCCTCCACAGGATTCGGATCCCCGGTCGCGTCTGGGTAGTCCCCCCAAGTCGCGCCAATTTGTTCCATGAGTTTCACCCAGGTCGTTGGCACAGCTGGTGCTTCGCATGGGAGATGCATCGGCGGATGGATCATCTTTGCGTTCACCAACGGGAGAGGTAGTCCAAGAAAAGATCGACTCCCCGTATATAGTTCCAGTGCTCATACCTCAGCTCTAAGGTGCATCGAACCCAGTTGACACGGTTGACACGGAAAACCATGCGTTTGAAGTTAGTGAAAGCTCCGGATTGGTCAAGGGAACTTCTTGGTCTGAGGCCACATAAAAAAAAGATCGGGCAGCCCATGTATTTTGTCCTTACAAGTTAATCCGCCAGCAAGGCAACCACCTCCAGTCACTCCACGCTTTGGTGCCCCAAAGAAACTACTTTTCACCACACCAAACGCTGCCCTCGACGGCTTTTTCTCAGCCAAACGCACAGCGCGGCTCACATCGTTTGCCCATGGGCACTCGATCGGCAGCGCAGCGCAATGCACAAGGAGACTGGCACAGCGAGTGTGGTGGATTCTGTGGCTCCAGTAGTCCAGAAATACCTGGAATAGATACCATATCCCAGACACTCCACCCCTGGCCTGATCGGCATAATATATGGCAGTCCCATTAGTCGTGTCTGGGTATTATATTACCGGGATTTGGCCAGGGACCAACTTGAATGTCCTGGTTGGTTCGGTCCCTGTAAAAGCTTACTGGGACTCCAAAACGGCGACTGGGAAGGTCTTGGTCAATTCATTTGTGATACCAATTAACGTGATTTGGAGTTGATTGTTTTTAAGAAGCCTCTGGTGAAGGGTTACAAGGGGCTCCGAAATAGTCACCGGCAATTGTTTGAACATTTGTTTTCAATTGTTTTGCAATTGTTCAATTGTTTGGGTAATTGTTTTGCAACTGTTGGAATATTTAAAGCAATTGTTTCAACAAATGTTCAATATATTCAACAACTGTTTCAACAATTGTTCAATATTTCAAACAATTGTTTTGCAATTGTTTTGAATTTGTTGAATATTTGCAACAATGGTTTTGCAATTGCTTTGGAATTGTTGAATATTAGCAACAATGGCTGCGCAATTGTTTTTGAAATTGTTGCTTATGTTCAACATGTTTGTTCGCAAGCAAACCTTTTGAACATACTGAACATACTGAACATGCAAGTTAGTAATGGTCGGTTTAACATGCATCACATCGATGGCTGGGGCTGCTATATAACAGCAACAAAAAACATGCATCACATCGATAGCTGCCTCCATCCTTAGCCTTTTCACATGTTGTGATAATATCTGGTTCACTTTCCTCCATCAATCCTTTGGTTCAAGATGGCCCCCACAATTGGCGAAAGAGTTTCGCTTCCATGTTGAATGGGTGGGGGCGATGCTGAGCTTACATGATTTGGCAGGGATTGCGCTTGGTGGCCAGCAGCCTGCTAGGGCCGGTCTTAGACCTGGTGCTGGTGGACGTGGCCGCCTTGGGCGTGGTGTTGGAGTTGGTGGCCGCCTTGGGCGTGGTGTTTGCCTGGGGCGTGGCGGCCGTGGCTTGGCCAATGCTTTCAGGGCAAGAGCTAGGCGGATGAATGCAAGGAGAAGCCGGGTCAGTTTCTTGAGGAAAAAACGAAAGAGCACAGGGCAGACACATTCAGGCTGCAGGCTCAAGCGTCCAATGCGTCAGGGCGCCATAGAACCCTAGATCATTTGCTTCCTTTGCAGCCTGTTGATGAAGCCAGGCCCAAACCAAAAGGTCGAGGCGCTTGGAAGCAGTGGACGCCTGAGGCTATTTTGAGGGCCGCCTTTGGCGAGGCTACTGCAACAGTAAGGCAAGCAGCAAGGGAAGTTGATGGGGCAAGTGCTGCCCATGTGATCAAAGCCCGCATGTTCATTGGCAAGTGCCTCCTTGATTGTCAAGCCAAGCATATCCAATCAGAGATAAACCGGCTGCGTGAAAGAGGTTTGCTGCTGTATCACATAGTGAACCTGATGCTCGACGAGACAGAGCTGGATGTTTCTTTGAAACAAGTTGGGTCTGCAAGCTGGTCAGTCTTGGCAAGCCACAGCCAACTTAGCGTCTGTGCTGCAGGCCAGAATGTGGAGATTGACATAGCAAGGCCGCCAAGGGCTCTAGCTCGTAAAACGGCTGAGTGCATGTGGGGCGCGCTGTGCCTGGACCAAGGCGGCCTTGGGCCTGGTTTCATTGGGTCTCCAGCAAAGTTCTCTGCTGTGCTGGTGTCGTGTGACCAGCATGCAGCCAACATACGGCTGCTCAAACACTTGCATGCAGTGATGCCGCAGAACTCCTTCATATTTCCCAGCCTGTGCGCCCAGCATCGAAATGGACATGTAATTGAAAGGGCAACCAAACATCTAGGCATATTGCCAGGTTCATTTTGTGTGTCCAAGAGCACCCGCCGAGGGAAGTTTCTGCAAGACCTCACAAAAGCAGTTGAAAAAGTCTTGTCTGAAAACCTGGTGATCATGGACGCAGAGCCTCCTGGCTTGCAAGCGATCCAAAGCAACAGGTCTGCAAGTGGAAAGGCAACTTCTTGGGTTGGACCCTGGTTCCGAACATGGATCTGACAACAGTCAAAATAGTGATGATGAAGTTGATCAGGTCAAACCAACAAGCGCATTTTCAAGGTTGGAAATGGCGGATCACTTTGACCCTTCCAGCTTTGCAGCCAGCAGGGCAAAACAAAGCGGCGCATCTGAGCATCCTTTGCCCCAGGCCCCGCTTCGAATCCAAGCCTGCTCTGCAGAGGTGACCTCTGCCACAGCAAATCGCCAACGCAGAGGTGAGTCTTGGGGTGCATTTTATCTAGCGCCCATTTACACACAAGGCGTGCGAATTGGTTATGGCGCAATCTGTGGGTTGCACCAGAACTCCGACGATGTGCCAGGAACCTCGTGCAGAAAAGCGTTGACCACAGGCGACTTACCTGAGGAAGAGTGCAGGGTTCGTCTCAAACGTTGGCTGATGGCAGGGTTGGATGACAAGAATTGGCCAGCAGGCCAAGAGCGATCATTGCATCTATCAATGGGGGGGCTTCGCTTAGTAGATTTCAGCTCTGGAGAATCAGAGGACGCTCTGGACAGAAAAGTGCTTAGGCATTAAAAAAAAACGGCTGCTTTGAGGTTTGCGCTCGGCTAGCTGAAGCAATCAGTGTCAGGCAAAGTTGTTTTGACTGGAATGTGTTGAGGTTGACCTTTTATCTTATGCATGAGCCAGTGGTACCGACTATGACAGTCAATATTTTTAGTTAGAATTACCATATCTATTAATTTTCTATTTTTATTTTACAATTGTCCAAAACTATCGCCGTCAAAATCTCTACAAATGATTTGTAGAGAACAGTTTTTCTATCATATAGATATATAAAGAAACATTATCTGGGAATATGTATATATATGAAATCTCTACAAACCATTTGTAGAGAAAAGTGTTGGCAATTGTTTCCCCAAATGTTTCGACATTTCCCGAGAAATTCCAACATTTGTTTGCTGATTTGTGACAATTCGATTCAATTCAATGTTGTTCATTGGAGCACCTGTGCTGCAGTGACTGTTCAAAGTCCAAGAAAGTTGGGTTGCGCGCAGCGTTGCCTTGCGATGGCCTCCGGCAGGGAAGATGACCAGGCAGACCAGACGGCGCCGAGCGACCTAGGCTGTACTAGCTCTGCTGGTGCCAAGTGGCCCATATCGGTGGCTCACAGCAAACCTTGTCAATGCTGTCTGTGTTCTGCCAAAAGCACAGACCCAAACCCACTGGCACAGGACCCAGGTGAGGCAGAGGATATGCTTGCCACCAGGCCTTGGGCCAAGTACAAAGATTCTCTTTGTTGAAGTGGCAAAACCACCAAGAATTATGCTAGGTAGAGAGGCGCTAATCTTTCAAGGCTTTCCAGTTGAGCCCTTCTTGAAACAGGTGGCTGACGAACACATTGACATTCATCAGCCCGCAAGAAAGGGCAAATCAAGCAAGCGGTCTACTCAGTCCAGAAAGTGGTTGAGGGAGGGGCTGATGACTGACTTAGCTGGGAACGCGATGGCTCTGCCAGTGTTGCTTGCCATTACCCAGAGCGCAGTAGCATCTTTGCTTTTTAGACCAGCTGACAGCGCAGCTACTACAGAGGAAACAGACAACGCCCTTGCAGCACTAGGCGTCCTTCTAGGCTCAGAGACTTAAACCGAAACAGGCTTTGCCTTGGTTTTGGCCTTGCGCAGTTCGCTTCAACTGAGGTTTTGCTTCAAGAAGTTTCACTGTTGACTTGACTTTGAGCCTAGCTAGTGTGAAAAAAATGCGGCAGGTCTTGCGGCTGGGCGAGGCTTAACCGAACCTCCTCTGCTGGCTGAAGTATGTAAGGGTAGGGGTCCTCAGGCTCGAACTGGCTGCAAAAACTGCAGAGGCAGTAGGCTTGAAGGACTGTGCCAGGGTCCACTGCATGGGTGGGAGCAGTTTCTGGTGGACCTAGAAAAATAGATTGAGTCAGATTGAGATTTTAAACTCTAACGTTTTAAATCTATAACTACTGTATAAGCTTGTTCTGAACAATGAACTAGGTGGCAGCGCTATCTAGTCCAATATGGTGCGACAGGCCACAGGCCATGGGCCCATAGGCGGTTTGACCTGAGCCTAGTGCAATTTGAGCTGGTCACAATTCAAGGCTTTAGTTTACCCAGTCAGCTGGTGGCTGGTGGCAGTTTTTCCCAGGCGCAGCTCTTCGCTTTCCATGTTTCTTTTGGCTTCAGGACGCCGGCCTTTCTTGTTGTGACTTCCTGCTTTCTGTTTTGCCCGCTGCGCCTCTTTGCCATGTTGCAGCTTGCAATGGGAGACTGGCTCTTGCTCGGCTTAGCTTTGTCATTCCTCTTGAACTGTGGCTTTGTAATTGGGATTGGGGTTCTACTTTGTTGCCATTCTTCAGCTGCTTCCTGTAGCAAACCTGGTAATGGCAGAAACCCTTCGAAAGGGCCCTGCACGTGTTTGCAAGATTCAGGGCTCAGCCCATGTGACAACGATCTGCCAACGAGCACACAGCAAAAAGCATGATGATTTTGATTCTGCGGTTCATCTGGCTGCATCAGCGTATGTACTCCACTTTCAAGGCTCTGATGTGTACCACTGTACAGCCAACTGTCAGCATATTAGACGAAGGGGTGCTGGCAAAGCTCAGCAACTCAGGCCCTGCAAGCATTGCGCACAGCAGGGCTGATGCAATACCGATACCTGTATTTGGACGGAAAAAATAGCTGCTGGAGCTGCGGCTGACCCTGCTAGGTCCTATCAGGGTTGCAACCAAGAGAACAACTATCAGATGTTTTGTTGGCTAATGGGTCCAGGCTGGTGCGCTTGTCTGTTT